TACCCGTTAAGGTATTTTCCAAACAAATTACTCGACTCGATCTGTTGTCAATTTGAATTACCACACTGAGATGCAGGTTCTGGAGAATATCAGATCTCAGAACACTTTTCAAGTGCAATGAATCAACTTTGGATGTAATGGTATGTAGGATTTCCACAAACTCTTGCATTCTAATGTTCCATTTCATTATGTTGCCAACGATATGAAACAAATAACGAAATTTCCAATATCCATGTCAGTATGGAAGCAGGAGAAGGCAATGTAAAATGTAAAGCAATAGAAATTACCTCGCCCTCCGTTATGCAAGAACGTTTGTGCAAGTCACGGCTCTACTAAAAACTGCAACCTTTAATCAATTATGTCAGTATCCATACTAGCCATACTAGAGCACATAACACAAAAACTTTATTATCTGACGGCCCAAAAATTAGTGCAAGAAACTAAACAAAGAGCAAAGTAGAGAATGCAAAATTTCCATATCATAGTATGCTAAATAAGACATTGAACGCTACAAACGCGTGTGTGATTTGGCTTTTCAATTTCTCAGTCCTGTCGTTACGATGTCTGCAGTGTAGCAATTTCTAGTTATTATAGTTATGTTTAGCACAATGAGTTATCATGTAGCATGTAGCATGATGTACCACGCATTCAGATTGTCATGATACCAGGTCGACCAGTCTAACACTAATATTTTAATACTGAGCTCCTAGGTAGTTATTAGTACCATTTCTATAAATCCTTGATATGACTAGGCCGGGATTTGACGGAAACTTTAACCAAAAGGCCACCGGTAGCCTGTGTGCTCTCAGACCAAATTGTGTTCGCTTAAACCGAAATAAACCAAACTGTTCTGATATCAAACTAACGGAAAGTGGGTTATATAAGACTTATTGGGATTTACATTTGGGACAATTAATTGAATATGCGTTCTTTACATTTTGAACAATGTGCATACAACACTAAATTAACCTTAAGACAAATTTAAACATCTGTCCAGTTCATTTCTCTTTTTCATTTTCTCGCGTATTTATTTCCGGATAAACTGACACAATGATATTGTTACAATGAACTAACGTTTGTTAATTATGCTTATTTTGCTGATCCTCTTCCCATCGACAAATTAGGCAGCGTTGTGGGTGTGAAATGTACATACTTAAGAGGCTATTACAAGTTAGAATATAGAATTAACCTAAACTAAATTTAAACCCACTTAATCAAATGACAAAAGAACACCAATGAAACTTAAATAAATCTAATAAAAAAAAGTAAAATAAATTAATTTAAATACATTTCTGGAGAATAAAAGGATAGCTTTATTTAAAATGATTTCAGGAGACTTAGGATATTTAATAATTTAGAATGAATACATATTTACTTGTAATTAAATTTTCTTTCAGCAGACCTAAATCGTGCAAAATTTAATATATGTTGCGTACTTATGGTCAGATTTTGGAGTAACTTAGATCTGAGAAATTTTGAGACCTTCAACTTCTCCCAGGATATACCCATTAATCTCCTATAGCAAGGATTGCCAGAGGGGAAAATTAAGTGAAAAATTATTTTTTCTTTCAATTTTGAAAAGGTTATAAGACTACGAAGCGCCAGAGATCAACAGTGAAAAGGTTCTTGGGATTTTTGTAAGTGGCAAGAAAAGTTTATATTAAATTGCCTACCTCAGAATAAAGGTTATATGTAAAGGCGTCTTATTGAATTCTATGAGTCAAATGAAAATGAAATTTCAATTACAATTAAAACTTCGTGAGCAGCTCTTTCTCATACATCAACATGTGTCATGACCATACATACATACATACATACATACATACATACATACATACATACATACATACATACATACATACATACATACATACATACATACATACATACATACATACATACATACATACCTACAGTAAATTTAAAAAATAAAAAAATGCATCAAAGATATAATTAAGATTAGAAAACCCGAGATAGACGGGTATATTATATAATTCTAATTCTAAAATTTACTCTGTTCCTAAGTGTCTATCAGTTCATAGATTATGTTACAAAAGCAATAACTAAAACCAGAAAAGTCATATATACCTTTTGAAAAGATCCAGACAAGTATAGTTTTCTTTCTTTTCTTCTCCAAGTACAAATTATGGTCACCATGAATAAAATGAACACTCATTTCAATGACCTACGGCACAATCGGAGAATTGTAATAATTTCAATATAATTTGATTCGACAAGATTGCTCAAAATGATGAAAGATTATCCATACAGCCGTTTCACATAGACTAACACTACTTGTATTAGTTCTAACTCTACGTCCGCACTGTAACACACTGTTTGATAGAGAAACTTTACACCCTGATGAAAGAAATCCTTTTATCAAACTTGAATGCAGTTGTTTGCATACAAAGTACAATTTCGAAAACAAACATAAATGTTCAGAAATATACGAAGTTAAATTTAGTTTTAATAAACAATTAATATATCAGCAAGTTTAGAATCGATTTTCAAAGGAAATTGATGCAATACATCTATCATGTACCTAACAAGGCTCGAACTTGCAAAAAAATGAATTTGAACCAATGAAAAAATGTTTTATTTATTTAACTTTTTTTCTCACTTGAAATTAAATACACAAAACACGTTGAAGCTGACTCTCAAGAGATAAAACCTTGGGTCGAAGTTTTAGAATATGGGTACCAATGTGTGATGTAATTTACTTAGTTTTGTATGATTTAAACATACTAAAAGAGCCATACCTATAAATATCGTAAACGATCAGAGATTACATATTTACATTATATGATCCATTTTGTTCCCACATTTGCATACTAAGTATATCATGTGGGCGTCAGATTAATTGCGTACTAACCAATGTCTTTTCAAATGCATACTTATTTTCTTATTCTCATCATTATGGAGTCGGTGACAAATGCGTGGAAAAAACAAGAGAGACATACGAAATATCAGATGTGATGTAATAAAATTCTTTTTTGTGGACTATTAAAGGCTGTTTATAAACATCAACACAATTATTTCTGTACACTAATGGATACCGAAACTGTTTGCATGATACATTATTGCAGGAGTATTATTCTGAACGGAGGCACGTTTGCAATGATGAAATAATACACTCTGAACGGAGGCAGGGTTACAAGGTCACAATTGTACTATCTGAAAGGAGGCATCGTTGCAAAAATAAGGTGGGACTTTGGTGAATCGGTAGTCTTGAATAAAGATTTACTATTCTTGCACGCTAAAGCTTTAAAGGAAGTAATATTTAGTAAAGTGTCATTTGTGTGTACTCACTACTGTACATTTTCGCAATGAGGACAATCCTTGAATAAACTAGTATTATCTAGATTTAATCAGCGCTTCCTGTTACATAAAAAAAGTTTTACAAAATATTATATTTCATTCTTGGAATTCAAAGATGACACTTTTACAAGAATAACATATTTGTAGTGCTTTTATTTGTTGTCATCTCATATATCGCATTATTCAACCGACACCAATAGAGTTTGGTAATTAGACTGGTTGTGTGTGGCTTGACGTGCACGAATATGTGGCGTCTGCAATGCTTTACAGGTATCGGAAACGTTTTTGAGTAAATTAAACATCAGTTGTTAGTTTACAGTTTAACAATATCATAATTGATCATGTAATAATAACAATAATGCACCGTTTTCTGTTTACAAATGTTTGTTCAAAATTTGGAGAAAAAAAAACTTTGAACGCTCGAGTTTTATCCTCGAGCCCAAACTCCTTCTAGTGAGGAAAATATTTGCACAAAACGAATCATGCATGATCACTATGATACAAATAGAACTACAAATAATTCACGAGAGGCGCCAGACTCAGAAAAAGTAAAAGTGAAATTGATGTGCATCGAATCAGACCAAGGATTAGTAAAATTTTACAGGAAACTGTTCCATTGATCAGTTTGTAAAGACCAGCTAACGGTCTTTTTCTGCCTTATATCAATCCCCATATTACAGACGTTACCATTGCTATTTATATAGTGCGTCCTTTCGTTTTAGTTGACAACCTGGTACTGATATAACTTAACATTTCATATTCCTTAAAATGTATTCGTATACACTGACTGTGAATGTTATGTTCACGTACTTGCACAGGTATATAATTATGAGTGCAGTTGACGTGCACTTGCACGAGTATGTAAGTGAGCATTGCAATTTTAACGTACATGTAATTGCATAGTTATACAAGTTAAAGGTATAAAGAAAACAAACTGTAGCGTAACTTGTAGAGTCAGGTCAGGCCCAAGAAAACAGACTGTAACGCAACTTGCATAGTCATATGGGGTCCAAGAACACGATATGTAGCGTAACTTGCATAGTCATATGGGGTCCAAGAACACGATATGTAGCGTAACTTGCATAGTCATATGGGGTCCAAGAACACGATATGTAGCGTAACTTGCATAGTCATATGGGTACAAGAACACGATATGTAGCGTAACTTGCATAGTCATATGGGGCCAAGAACACAATATGTAGCGTAACTTGCATAGTCATATGGGGTCCAAGAACACGATATGTAGCGTAGCTTGCGTAGTCATATGGGGTCCAAGAACACGATATGTAGCGTAACTTGCATATATATATATATATATATATATATATATATATATATATATATATATATATATATATATATATATATATATATATATATATATATATGATGCTACATTAGTAGCATACAAGCTGGGAGCTATGTCTTTAAATAAGTAAGGGGGGTTTCATTTGGATTTTTCACGTAGTTTTAAAAAATGTTTCAGTCATATTACTACGATCTCTGCAGTGTGGCAGTTTATATTGATGTCTAGAACTAAGGCATCATGCCGCAGACATGTAGCATGATGTCCAACCCAGTTACGTTATCCAGACAAAAGGCCAACTTGTCCTAACATTGACTTCTTAATGCTGAGCGCGAGACGAGGCAGCTGTTAGTACCATCTTTGTAAGTCTTTGGTATGACTCGGCCGGAGATTGAATCCATAACCTCGCGCATCCAAGGCGGACGCTCTAACCACTCGGCTACCGGAGCAGTCATTTAAATAAGAACAGTAACAAAAATGTATTATCTCCTTCACCTTCATTGTGCTTTATGTCAACTATATTTGTAGCGATCACCTCTAATCAGTAACTCATCGTATATACTTGTCAGATGAGGAGATACATTTGGGGTGTTAGGTAAACGCTGTTGCGTAATTCATAAAGCACGAAGATGATAGGAGAAGAGAGATATTATGCAATTCGTCAAAACGCGAGAGCAAGCGATAATTGTTAAAGATATTGGTCGGGTAATAAATAGAAACAAGAGGGCTTAGTGACAGTTATGCAATTCATAAAAACGAGTGGTAGCTGGTAATCAGGAAAGACTGCGGTTAGATCATTCATAGATAAACGAGAGGAAGCTGATTGTCGAAAAATATGGATGCTATGTAATTGATACAAACACGAGGGCTAACTTATATTGAAAAAGATGGATGTTATATACTTCACGGAAACACGAAGGCTAGCTGATAGTTAAAAAAGATGGATGCTATATACTTCACGGAAACACGAGGGCTAGCTGATAATTGGAAAAGATGGATGTTATATAATTCACGGAAACACGAGGGCTAGCTGATAATTGGAAAAGATGGATGTTATATACTTCACGGAAACACGAGGGCTAGCTGATAATTGGAAAAGATGGATGTTATATACTTCATGGAAACACGAGGGCTAGCTGATAATTGGAAAAGATGGATGTTATATACTTCATGGAATCACGAGGGCTAGCTGACGATCAGAAAATGTGCGATTCATAGACATATAAACCTAGCTGATAATCTGAAAAGATGTTTGACAAGTCATTTATAGAAACTCGATGCCTAGCTGGTGGGCAGAAAAGACGGCTCTCAGTCAATTCATATAAACACTAATAATCAGAAAAGATTGCGCGTGGAATTCGGTTAATATGACAATCATAGTCCGCGCACTAATTTTTGTTCAAGTAGTGGGTGTATTCATTTCTGGTAAATCACAATTCAAACCATTCAAAAACCATTTTCATTTTATTCAGGTATCCTCTCATGAATCCTTAGTTTTATCACTATACTGTTCATTAGCATCAAAATCACTGTATTCTCATTTGTCCTTTGGCAGTTTAATCATAAATGGGACAATTTGCAAATGCGATTTCAACATTGGGAAATGTAAATCTTTAAAAAAAATGTTAAATTGAAGAAATTTGTGACTGTTAAATAACCCAGAAATTCAAAGAGGTTAGCAAGAATGTTTCATTGATTATATGAACTTGACCCTATGCAAAATAGTCAATCGTTCTTGCTAAAGCATCAATTAACTTAGCTTTAAACCGATTCATCTTAAGGATGATGACAGTATTAAAACTATTTAGAAAATATGTGCAAATATTACACTTGAAAATCTGACAAATGCACTTTCGTTTCCTACTAGAGTGAGATTCACACACAACAAAATAATTAAAAAACCCAACACAAGGATGTGCCGTTGTACAAATTGCATAGCTGTACTGGTGGAAATAGACACCTGATATATATATATATATATATATATATATATATATATATATATATATATATATATATATATATATATGTGTATGTGTGTGTATGTGTGTGTGAATAAATTGCTTGTGTGTAAGGTTTAAAATTATTTTAATTTATTTTTGTTTCATTGCATTTAATTGCACTTAATACTTTTCTCGGATTCGGGATTCTTTTTTTAGTAGTGACATATTTTTATCACAAAGTTGTTTACTTAAGACAAAAAAATAATATGTGAGAATTGACATTTAGTCCGTTTTACCTTGGTAACAAAACTAACAGGAACTTAAATGAGTGTTCAGCATCACGGACATACTTTCTTCGCGTGATCAATGTTTGTAAACCGCCTTTTTATGATTGTTTTTTTTTTAAAAGTGAATTGACATTGGCCTACGTGTGAATTTTAGCGTGCTACGAGATCACATGACTAATCTCGCGAGATTTGAAGTGATGTTTTGAATTTAAATACGCATTCTTAATATTGTTTTAGGGAGAGTCATTCAAAACCTTGAAGGAACAAGGTTTATGTATTTATTTTAAACTTATTGCCAGAATATTTTATTTTTCTTTGATTTTTGGATTCAATAATTGATTCTCCTGGACACTCAATAAGTTGACTTTCTTATAAAAAATTCTGAAAGATATTTATGGAAGTTTATTCTGGAATTATTCGGAAACTAAGATTGTGATTAAAGTGAGGAATTGTTAATATTCATACATTGGACTACATCTGACGCCATCGCCCTCCATATTTGTATGTCGTTGGGACTCAAACTTGGAGTCTTATAGGACTATTTAGTGATAGGACTTGTGTTTTCATTCTTAGGATCACATTTTGCATTATATTCACGGGCTGTAGGTTCTATTTAGCAATGATTACATTGTTGTATAGGGAAATAAATTGTTTTATTAAAATATGCAAAGCTTGTTGGTTTACACTCTTTTCTTTGTTACTGAGTACGAGCCCTTGTCACGTAACACACCCCCAACAAAACAGCTATGTCATGACAATTATACAGTACTTTACTGAAATGCGATATGGGTCCTATTTTAGGAATAAACATTATCTGGCGTAACCGATGATAAGAAGCTATTGCATCCGGGACATAAGGATGTAACTTTATCCAACTGTATGCATTTCAATAAGGTAACGTGAATTGTGTTGTTGAAAAACCATACAAAATAAACCAAGATTTTTTTAATTGTCAAACCTTGGGAAAATATGGTCGTATTAAAATCAGACGGTTGCAGGTAACTAGACAGGAATGTGAAAGTTTTTAGCATTCAGTGTCGTGTTTGATGTGATTATCGACAATACAAGCCCATAGGTGCAAATCAGCGAAATGAATACTCGTCCCTTTAGCAAGAATGCTAATATATATTTTAAGTCAAACACGAAGAGCTCTATTTTTTGTACCATTTTAAACATAATCTCAGTATTTACAGTATTTAACCCTATCTTCCCTCTGCAGTTGAGCAATCCTAATATATTGCCATAGCAACATTTTTGTATTACGTCAAATGAAGTCTGGATACTATAATGTCAGTTTATCTCTGGGTAATAACATGCCAGTTTAACTTTGTGTACTATAATGTCATTTAAACTCTGTGTACTATAATGACAATTTGACTCTATGTACTTTAATAACGGTTTAACTCTATGTACTATAATGCCAGTTTAAATATGGGTACTATATGGTCAGTTTAATTCCATGTACTATATGGTCAGTTAACTCCGCGCGATATAATGACAGTTTAAACTTTGTACACTATAATATCCATTTAACTCTGATCACTATAATGTCAATTGACCTCTGGATACTATAATGACAGTTTAAGTTCATGTACTATCGTTTCACTTTAAATATGGGTACTATGATGTCAGTTTAACTCTATGTACTATAATGTCAGTTAACTCCGTTTAAGTATGGGTACTCTAATAGCAGTTTAACTATATGTACTATAGTGACAGTTTAACTATATGTATTATAATGTCAATTTAACTCTGGGTACTATATATAAATATAATGACAGTTAAGTCCATGTACTATCGTGTCAGTTTAAATCTGTGTACTATAATATCAGTTTAAGTACGGGTACTCTAATAGCAGTTTAAATATATGTGCTATTGTGACAGTTTAATTTCTGGGTTCTCTAAGGTCTGTTTACCTTTGTACTATAATGTCATTTTAACTTTATGTAATATAATGCCATTCGAGACGAATTATAAACTGCATATTAAGCTTCAAAATATCATCTTTTTCCTAATAACATGCAAACGAGTTTATTAGTACAATGCAGATATTAACAGCTGCCTCGCCGGGTGCTCAACATTAAGAGGTTAGTGTTATGACTGATCGGCCAGGTGTCAGGATAACGTGGGTGGGACATTTGCTACCTGAAGATATATATATTCTCTAAAAGCAAATTGTCATTGTATTTTACGCTCAAATGTATTGGACAGCAATGTGTATAGCAGGCTAATAGGGATTTCTTACCATACCTGGCTTATCGTTCATGTTATGTTATGTTCATATTTTTTCTCAAAGCAAACGTCAGTAGTAACATAAATCGTTTTAGAAATTCAAAGCAAAACAACACTCTAAAAACTGGCAGAAAAAAAACTGTAAAACATTGGACTTAAATTTGCTTCTCTTTCATGTATAGCGGCTAATCTTACCATAGCACTATGCAAGCTAAACTTTCTTGGTCTTTATCTTATCGACGCGGTAGAGAAAATACTGATCTATTTCACTCCAGTAAATTATCATACTTATTTAACTTTAAACTTCATTAATGTATGGTCTATGATAATTTACGGCCTAACTAACTTGTGTCCTACAAAAATACATGGTCTATACTAATTCAGTGCTTACGATAATTCACGTTCTACGGTAATTCACGGCCTATGGTAATTCAACGAATAAGATAATTCACGGCCTAGGATGAAATTAAAGACACTAATTTACTAGTAACTTTTGTTGTCAACATAAGAAGCTAAAATCCCCCACCCCCCCATTCCTCTATCATGCTGTGCTTTGTTAAACCTATAGCTGGCATCATAAGACTCTAATAGTCATTTCGCCATAACATCCCTCGATCACCCCAGGCTCAATTAAATACATATATGTCATCATAATATCCTAAAATTTGTTCCACCATGCCATTCCCCAATCATTACATACTCAATTAAACACATAGCTAACATAAACAATTATTTAAATAGGTTTACACTTTATACATCCTTTTAGATCAGGAACACTTGCCTCATTATCATGGTATCTAGGCATGGTAAATAAACTAAATAGGTTTTAACTTTGTACATCCTCTTAGATAAGGAAAACCTGCCTCAGTATCATAATGTCTAGACATGAATCATAAAGTAAGGACCTAGTTGCAGTAAAGATTGACAAACAGATATACTGAACCTGATATTTAAGAATACAAAGGTCGCCCGAACAAGCGTTTTGCTCGCG